TATTAGTTAGCATCGTCTGTTCGCGCACAACAGTCGCGCTAGCACAGTGAAAATCATAAATAAAATGTAGGTTCACTTCTGATAAACACAACACCAGTAGCAACTATTTGAGTTTTGAGGGAAAATGCTCCATTACTCCAAACACTATTAAGCTCCAATCACACTGGCCTTTGAAATGGTTGATAAAAAATCACATATATGTTGCCTTCTAAATACACAGAAATTCACATTAAACTTAACTATTAATATTAACTATTGACATAGCTGCTGCAGGACAACAATTTAACTGCAAATTGACATAGAAGCTCAGCAACCTCGCTTTTATATATGAATATAACAAGAATACAACCACTTGAGGTGAGTCCCCAAGTGCAAAGAGACTCATCCTAGATGTGTTGTTGGTGCAGACTAACACAAATTGCCTGCAGCGTGCACTCTGGAGGCAATTGTAAATTATTTCTAAGCCAATCTCTCTGAAAGTGATAGCAGTCTGTCTAAGCTGGCCTGCAGCTGTTTAAAGACTCCCATTAGGTCCTGCCTCCCTGAAAATGGTGTCCTAGAGATCAATGGTGTTGCACAATCAATGTCCAAGCAACCAGTTAGTCGCCAAAATTACTTGTAATTGGTCGCTATATGGAAAAAAATTCAGCGATTAGTTGCAAGGTGATTGCCAAACTATTTTATTCTGGAGTGATAGATCCTTTGAGTGCATTCATTTCTTGCATACTAACTGCAGAGCCAGGTGAACGGTGTGAATGTTTCACTTGTTACAGACAAAATGACTGCTGACACGATGAACACCAAGTCTTTAAAGCCATGCAATGTAACCTGGATACTAGGAGCACAATATATGATTTACACTTCTCATATCCAGGCAGATTATTTTTCTAGAGAAATCACTAAAAAAAAAGGGGGAAATAGGGAAACTGTTTGAGTAACCTGGCCAAACATCTGCCATCAGAAGAATGACAGATCATAGAACCAGTGAGCAAATGGATATAAAGAAAAGCAAGAGCAGCTAGCGCTCTCTCAGTTGGAAAAAGTCTAAAATGCATCTGCTTAGATGCCAAAAATGGACTTATGAGTCATAAATGGGCATCATCATCAAGCAGCTCAAACATATCTTGATGTATGTAGACTATAAATATCTTCAGGGTATTTTTCTAGGGACAAGCACACATATGAATCAGATTTAAACTGACAGCATAAATATATGTGGCTTTCATACAAATATTTTCACAATTTTGGAGGTTTGGCCACATTTTTCATGCACTGATTGCACATTAAGCAGAGATTGCAGGTTTTCTAGAATAGTATCATTTTAGTTTCACATACACTACAAATCCTGCTCTCCCAGTCACACATATACAAACCTGGGAGCAACATAGTGGACACTACTTCAGCATCCTCCAACATATCAATAATGCAGCGTTGGAAGTCTTTACTGCTGTTAGACTGAAGATAGCTGTGGACACAGACAACAACAGAGCAAAACAGACATGTGTGTCAATCAGCTGTTGATTTCTGTTGAAATACATCGTGGCAGACTTGATATTAATTAAAATATCATTTTTAATCTTACATATTAGCAGCAAATAAAACAACAGTTTATTGATTTTCTCTGCGACATCATGTTTTAAAAGGTTTCAAAAACTGAATAAATATGAGCACATACAAAGAAAAAAATCCCTTATTACCAAAAGTCTTTTGGATTTTTTTCTTGAAATGTTCCAACTGATAAATTAATATATTCATTGATATGTGTGCAGCACAGATACCCTTTAAAGCATTTAAGCTGCTTTCTCGTGTGTGTGTGTATGTTTTAGTGCGTCTGTGTGTCTGTGTTTGAATATGCGAACTGAGGGCTGGGCCATCTGCTCATCTTCAGTGGTGGGGAACATTTCCATCAAAAAGTTAAGAGTGCCAAACCGTCTGCCAATATCTAACACACAAACGCACACGCATGCACACACAAACACACCATACTGACCTCATCCAGGAGAGGCGGTCTTGCCAGAACTCATACATTATGTAACACGACTTTCCTGGGAGCTTCTGAACGGACACACTGACAGCAAGATCGAGACGAAAAGTAGAGTGGGGCAAGAAGAAGATACAAAGTGAAACAGAGTTTGCACTCAGCAGGGATAAAGTACACGAAAACTTTGAATCTTTTGAGGGATGTCATTAAAATTAGGCAAGACAAAAGCACAACATCAAAACCAAGTTCCAAAGTCTCGTTTTAGTTATGTAAGCGATATAGTCACTTTTTGAACCAGTAAATCGTTATTACTTAAGATGTAACTTGTATTATGCTGCTCACAGTTATGGACCACGTATACTGGCAATTGCTCAGTACTCCAGCAGTTTTCACAGCAGCAGAGTCCCATGCTTTGAATCAAACATGCATTGCTTTTCCTGGAAACTAGCAAGACACTCACTGCATGTTGTCAGAGTGAGCTGAGGTGGCGTCAAGGTAGCTCTTTAGAACTTTCCGGAAATTGTCCAGATTGACATCAGTCACTGACATCTGCCTCTGAACCAGCAGGATATTCTGTTGGCAATAAGACATCAGACAGAGGAAGGGATAAAAAAAAGAGATTAAATGACCAAAGATCTCACTCTGTGTGTTTGTGCCCTTGTATGTCTGTCCTTGTGAGGACCTTTTTTGAGATTTGCACATTTAGGATGATGACATTTGTTTAAAGTGGTCAGCTCTTTGCTTAGGACTTAGCGTTGGGGTTCACAATAGATTGTTAGAGCAGACGTTTATATTAGGTTAAGGGTAGGTTAGCATTTGGATATGGGGTTTAGGTTATGCAGTATGTGATACATTTGGTTACAAAAATTAAAAGTCAATGCAGGCATGAGGATAGATGGCATCAAGATGGATACTTTCAGAGCAAATATGTACTGATATCACCATCCATCACACCAGATGACAAATAAATTCAAATAGATAAGTGTTATTTCACTTAGCATTACTCTCACTTCAGTAGATTTGGTTGTGATTGTGAATGTTACTAAAATCCTGGTTTTAATGAAATTCATAGACATTTCACAATTGAAAATACCAGAAAGTGATTACAGAATACTGATACTAGAGCTGGGCTACAATACCTATGTTGCCATGACTCCTCAGTTTTGATTTTCTCAGTACTTTGCCACTTTCTTTATATACTGACAACAACAGCTGAAGGCTTTTTATTCTGAAAACACATCTCAAGTTTCTTAAATGCTTTCCATGGCAGTCTATCGACTTTCAATAAGAGAGGAGAAAAAAGACAAAAAAAAATCATTTTTGTTCCTTAGAGATTGATGTACCTGGGAACAATCCTGCAAATGGCAGCAAATCATTCTGGGCTTGAACTCAGGCCATGTTTACCATTTGGTCTGCCAGCGCACTGAATCAACATCCTCTCCACTTTTCTCTCCCAGCAATTTGAAGTTACAGTGAGTCCATCCTACAGCTCAATAAAATGTATCACTGTACACTGAGACATACCTTAATTTGAAATGTAATGTGCATCCAGTCAATGGAGTTTTTTTTGTCACTAACCGAGTCAGATGGAGGTGGATGGTATTGCCTATTATATAAGTTACAGTGCTCGTAATATTTAAAAGCGGATGACGCATACAGAATCCTTGTAAAGTAATTTCACTGTATTATTTTCTACCAAATGCGATTACTGCGTTTTTTCATCGTTCCAGAGAGCAAAAGATTGCTCTACATTGTCAGGTGAAAAATTATATTCAGCTCTAAGAGTTAACACATTAAAAAAGGTGAGAAACTTTTGTGATTTAGGACTAATGACTAAGACTCTTTGAACTTGTTACAAACAGAAGATCTAAACTCCAACACTAAAAGAAGTCAAAAAGGAGACAATCTGCCAATTATACATCTTACAACAGACATTTACCTTTCTATTATTGTTATAAAAATTCTTATATAACTATCACCAGCTAACCTGTAACTAAAGGTTAAAACCTCATCATCTGTGCGTGTTTCTCTTATCTATTAATTGGATCTGGAGTCAGCCTTCTTTTGTCCAGATGTTACCTTTTCAAATCAGACAATTTAGAAATGACTCTCTCTTATTCTTGATTCAAT